AGCAGGAAGCATGCTGGAATGAGCACATGGATACCCTTGCAGCCCCCCCACCCTGCCGCAGGAGGTACTGAGACGGAATCTGATGCTTGTTTTGATAGCGCCTGCCCAGCTTCATCATCGAAGCTTCATTACCGTCTGCAAGAAAAAAAAAATTACTCTGGAGGTACAAAGTCAGGAAAGACTTCTGCATCTGATTTCTGCCTTGCTATGAGCAGCGATTCAAGGTCAAAAGAATAAGCCATCCAGGCTGGTATCTTGTCCTGTACACACGAGATGTGCAGCCAAGACTGCTGTATAGGACTGCGATCAGCCGACAGAATTACATAGGAATTTCTCTTCATCTACATTTGAAGCGCTGGATTAGGAGACAGAATCCTTCCTTCCTGACCTCCGCAGAATCAACAGACACCACAGCATATACAGCCAACCCTACACCTTACCCCAGCCGAACAATCAAAGCTATTAACGGCTGAGCAATTATCGCCTCTAAAACCCAGCCAAAGCAGAAGACCCACGGACTCGCTGGAACAATGAATTGTACAGGATGACCGTGCGTTGAAAATTATCTGCGGTCTCAGAAAATTATAGCTTGTTTTCTATTACTTGTCCCCCTTCACCTGTTCTGCTATTGCTTTTTGAAAAAGGTCCTTATTGAGACAGGCACTTACAGCTTTTCCTGCGACTCCAGCCTCATACTATTAATTCTCTCAGTCTGCCAACACCAACTGCCTTATCTTACATCTTCTCTTTCTCCTTTTCACATCTTTTCCCCGTACCACACTAATTGGACAAAGGACTCAAAAAATGCCGTCTTAAATGTCTGCATTCACCTGTTGTCCTTGAGTGACTCAATTTTTGTATGCATCTCTAACTGCCTGCTTAATTACCTATCTGCACATGCACAGATGGGCCACCAGAGTTCAACCTCCCGGAGCTCGCTAGAAGTGCCTCGACTGGAAGAATTATCTTCCAAGCTCTGAAGAGAGCTGCACCCCCTGGGTGAACTTGGCAGGTGAAGTAACAGGAGCACGAGACTCAAGGCTGGCTGAGGACCGCAAACCCCGGCTGTAATCAAGTGAACTGAAATGGGTATAAATTGGAACTGGAAGTTATACTTGTGTTCGCCAGCACTTGGGGAACAGCTTTTCCCATTTAGCCTTCTGATCAGTTAGAACGAGATGGAAGTGCTGCCCAGGGATTTTATCCTACCACGGGGAATAAGCACAGTTCAGCCTCTGATATTTGTTTTCTGACAGACTCTCTTCCTGAAGTGAAATAGCCCTAAATAGTGTAGAGGCTGAGGCTGTAATGAGCTATAGCACAGCAGGGTTTTAGAGATAGCTGGAGAACGATAAGATCCAATCCCTGGTGTCAGCGAGATAAAGTGGTTTATCTGGGTTTCCACACAGGGGAGAGTTAGCTGCTAGACCGAGCTGAAAGATAGGGGGCTGGCAACCACGGAGATTACAACACGAGATAGACTTGCCGGGTTTTCTGTTTAAAAAGCCAGCTGGGCTAAAGCAGAATGGGCTCCCCAGGAAAAAACAGTTATTCAACACAATATACAGACCCACTAACCTGAAAGAGGGGAGGGAGAATCCAGCTGTTGGACGAGCTGTGGAAGGGGCAATTCAACCTTGTCCTCCTCCGGCCCCCACCTGCTCTTCCGCTTCTTTTTAGTAGTGCCTGTAGCAGCAGCCGCGGCTGTTGTTGCAGCAGTAGTTGTAGCTGTCTGATCAGGTGGAGTTGTAGAGGATGATGGTGAAGGTGAGGGCAAGGGCGAGGGCACGGGCAAGGGCACGGGCAAGGGCGAGGGGACAGGCAAGGGCAGAGGCAAAGGTGAGGGAACGGGCAAGGGCAGAGGCAAAGGTGAGGGCACGGGCAGGGGCAAAGACGGTAAGCACAAAGGTGATGGCGATGCCTCAGGACTGGTCTTCCTTTTCAGACTGGACTCTACAGGCAAGGGGGCGCACACAGTGCTGGTTTTGGCCTTACGGAACTCCTCCAGTTTCTGCCGGTAATACTTGTAGCCTTTGCTGTTTGGCTCATATAAAAACCTAGAGAGAAAGGGAAAAAAAAAAGGAAAGTTTAGATGTAACAGTCATATGCAGGGGTTGGATATGGCACAGTTTGGTCCAGGCTTTTCTTTCCCGCAAGGCTCTTGCACAACTCGCCTTCCCACACACTTCTTTGCTCTCCAGCACCATCCTGTGTGTATGTGCATGCAATGCAGGGCTCCGCGTGCTCTTGCAAGGTAGGCTGCAAGCCTTTGGGACGAGGAAGCACGTTTCCCATTCGTGAGCAAACCACAGCTACTTTTGGTGCCAAATAAACACGCAGTACTAAAAAGGATCGTGTTGCATTTATGGAAATGGCAAGGTCCTCCCCCAGGATTCACCTGCCTTCCAGAACACGTTTGGAAAAACTGCAAGGGCTCCACAACATGTCGGGTTTCAGTTTACAGAAGAAAACAAACATTCAGGTCTTAGGAATGGGAATGCCAAACCATTGCCTAAAGAAACTGCTTCCGGTCCTCTATTCAAGCTAGAAGCATTGACATTATCAGTCTGCTTAATTACACCATGACTCCTCCTTCTGTTCCCTCATACACAAAAAAAACATTGCTTTATTTGCTACCCCTTCCAGAAATAGGCATCTCTGACCTTTTGGGTAAAATAAAACTCCTTAGTCTCTGTGGGAAGTACACAAACAATCCTCAATCTAGCAGCTACGCAGAAAAATCAATACAGTCATGTTTCTTACAAACACGTTATCTTTTTGGGCTCACTCCAGTTTAACTGCTTCACACAGAAAACTTGTCTATTCCTAACTCCTCTACGATCTTCCCTTCTTAGAGGACCAGTTTAATACTTGATATAACATCTTCTCGGGATAGTGCCTGCTCCCACAAGAAAAGATAAGAGATGATGGGCCTGTCCCACCCACTGCTGCACAACACGCACAGGCAAACACAAACAGCTCTCTGACGTATTTAAAATTCACTAAAATTGGTCTTGCATCCCTCCGTTGGAATAACAGCACTAAGGATTGCTCCAGGACCGAGCAGAGGGCAGGACAGGACCCTCCCTATGGCAAAGCCAAGGAAATCCTAATAAGAGGAGACAGCATTTAACTTGACCGTGCTCAGGTGGCAGCACAGTGGTGTTTTAAAGTAAATAATGAAGCAGCAGAGATATTAGCGCATCTGTCTAATGTAATTCACAACACAAGGGGAGTACTCCAGAGGGCCAGAAGGCAGCCAATAAAAAGCCAAAATATCAGCCACAAAATAAGCCTTGCTGAGCCCCACTTCATTTCCAGAGAACACACCAAATTGTTTGTAAGAGCAGAAAAATATAACACAGAGGAGACCAAAGGGAGGCATTAAACAGCTGTCAGCGAGCACTGAAGAGTACAATTCACATCTGAAAGGCTGAAAAAGATATTCCAAAGGGGAAGCTAATGGTGAAGGAGCGCTACCTGTGCGTTAGTGAAGCTGCTGTGTAAAGAGCAACCCAGGAAATTAATTGGACAGCCACGGTGTGAGTGGTGGATGGGGGCCCACACCAAAACATAGCTATAGGGAAAAGTATAAAGGTTAGAAATATACCGGCACATTGGAACAGAAAGCAGGTGAGGAAGGGTGGAAGTTAAATTAATTTTGGGGGAAGCAAATCAATTCCTCTCTCTGTGCCTTGCTTTAAACCGGGAAGCTTAAGAATTTCAAGGTATCAGCGCTACAAGCGCACTGTCCTTGTAACTTCACTTATCACAAGATTGCCGATTATTTCCCCTTTACAAAAACCAAACCCAAACTCACCCAAGCCCCTTCCCTCCCCCCCCATTACACTCAGCAGCAGGTTTCTCCTTTTACCTGAAAGCATGGTTCTCTCGGTTGTTCTGCATGGCAATAGCTTCCACCTCAGGACCCCCGTCTGCTATGAACCTGGCCAGTTTCTCAGCAGAGTTCTTTGTCTCTTCGTCGTCTGGGGGTGAAACTTTAAGCAGGCTGTCAGTACTGGGCCCAACTCACACAAGCAACAGTCAAAGCCTATCTGTTCTAAGAACCCCAAGAGCAGAATAAGGGCAAAAGGTCGAGTTTAATTTTTAGAAGTATTACACAGAAACAGTCATAGAGTTTATATCACAAAAACACGATATTGCATAAGGTTGTACAACAACTCTGAAACCAGAGGAGTGCCCATTCACACACCAGCTTCCTCTGTGCCAGGAGCTAGATGAGAGCAGATTAAAAGACAAACCAGCTTTTGTCTTCAAAGATGGACACTTGTTTCTCTCTGCAGCAGAGGAAGTCTGCCTCTTCCCTGCATCAGGCACTTTTCCAAAGGGTTACACCTCAGCACTCACAATCATCTCGAGTTAAAGACTTTGCCGCTGACGTCCCTTGGAGCAAGGGGAAGGCCTTAGAAAAAGCGGCAAACTAATTCCACACCGTCATCCCGCTTGTACCTACTGTCACTACACATCTGCTGGCCATTTTAGGGGAATGTTGTAAGCCAGAGGAAATTCTCCATGGAACAATCCCAGTCCTCACCTGGAAGAGGTGGCTACTGCAGCCTTAGTCCAAAGGCACAGAGAAGGCTCTGATCGTTAATATTTCAAACATATTTGATGTTTATAAGGAGCCAGGCAAATCGGTTATTTAGCCACGACCACCTTATACGATATTTGCTACCTGCACAGTACCAGTGCCAGTACTCCAGGGGGCTGGCACAGGACCAGGAGGCAGAAGACATGATTATAAGCCATGGACAAGTCATAACCTTTCCTTGCTTCAATATTCTACACCTGTAAAGTACGGATAATACCGCTTAGCTTCCAAACCATTGTATCAGTTAGTTGATATTGGTAACAAGCTCTTTCAGCCTACAGTCTATTAAACCATGAGTTGTTTCAGCTGTTAACTAATCGGCATGACAGCTAAATTGCATTAAGACTCCCTTCTTCAGCAAAGGAAGCTGACACAGAGAGGCTGAGTGATTCGCCAGGGCCACACGCGGGCTGGACTAGAAGCGATAAATGCTTGGCCCACAGACCACACTTCACCCACTAAATAATTTCTGTCTTTTAACACAGTTAATCAGATTCCACTGCTCACACCACCTGTCTGTTGGCAGATTATCCACTTCTGCTGTTTTCCCACCTGAAAACATAGTCCCCTACTTGCAAGGATTTACATCCCAAGCAGAAAATAAAAGCTTCAGATAAGGGAACAGCAGCAGAAATGGGGATTGTGTTCAACAAACCAACCGTTTTCATTTATAACGAATTAAATAAGAACATCTGAGAAAAAACACTTTTCCTACGTGCATTTTCAGGACGGAAACGCTTTCCAGAACACACACAATGGAGAATCATTTTAGTTCACTTTAAGGATTTTGGAGAAATACAAGGGAAATCTCTTTCAAGAGCCCTTTACATAGAGCATGCTGTGGACTTGGGACACAACCATTTTGGCACAAGAGTTTGATGCCATCATGGTGATGATTGACCACCATCTCCTTCCATTTTGAAATTTTATTTACAGGCAGCAGATTGAGAGCCAAATATCCACTCCAACTGCTTCCATAACAGCCCTAACAAGAAGTTACAGAGAGTGAAGAAGTCAAATTTAACTTATGCAATTCATATTCCCCAGATCGCAGTCTTAATTACCTTTCAGAGAAGAGGACGCCTGAGAACTTTGATTCTCTTTTCTTATCTCTGCCACTTTCTTTCTGTAGTAAAGGAATTCTCTGCTGTTCTTATCATGCAAAAACCTAAGGTAGAGATGGAGGAAAAAAGGGCAAAAAATATGCATCAGCAACAATAATACACAAACACTGATACTTTGGGATACAAATGGCTCGAAAAAAAATAGATAAATGACTCAGAACGCACTGAAAACATGGATTACAAAGTCTTCAGCATGTTTAAATACACATAGCTTCAAGTGACACAAAAAATTTGGATGCAAGTCCGTAGCTTAAAGGGAAATAAATAACAGTCTCTTCTGACATAGGAAGGAATCCTCTGTCCACAGGCACAGAGGAGACAGAACCAGTCCCGAGACTGAGTCCAGTATCCCCATTGCCAGATGTTGTACAGGCAGCCAGACCTCCCAGGCTGTATTCCTAACTCTAGCTGATCCGTCTCCTCAGCACCATCACAATATCACTTTCTGCCTCAGTTTCCCCAGTTATAAAACAATTACTCGCAACAAAGCTCAAATCCACCAAATGATAATTAACCAAACACATCTACGAGAACTACATAGATAAGGCTGATGTTTTTCTCCTACAAAGAGACAGCGTTTCGCTTTGGAAGACAAGAGTTATCACCACACTTACGAAAAAGCTGGGTTATCCTTGTAGTCTTCCATAGCGACCTTCTCTAATTCTGGTCCCCCTTCAGCCACGAACCTAGCCAGCTTTTCCACCACTTGCCGGGTCTCCGCATCCTCTGGGGGTAAAACTTTAAGCAGGCTGTCAGTACTGGGGTTCAACTCACACACCAAACAGGCAACAGGTACATTACTTCTAAGAACCACGGCGGCAGACAAAAGTAGAATGGGAATGGGAAGAAAAAGGATGAAATGGGGGATCCAGTCTTACACAGCTTTACAAATTACAACCCCTAGGTTACTGTCAGCCTCTGCACTCCCCTAGTAGAAAGTTAATATTTTGTCTAGATTTTTCCTACAAGGAAAAGCCTAAGATTTGGATCACCACAGTTCAGGGTACAACTTCAATTGTAACGTCATTCGCTTCTGACAATTCTACTCCACACAAAACACAGAATGAGGAGGAACAGGAATTTGGTTTGTTTTTTTATCCACCACATTACTCACTGAAGATTACAGATTCCAGTTCCCAAGACATCGCTCTGGACCCAGATAGCAGAGACAGATTGTGTAGCTGGAGCACATAGTTCTTCCTACTGGCATATGCCCATGTCTCAACCCTCACTTGGAGGGAATCCCACCAGAGATAAGAGGAGAGCTCAGGCTCCAAGAAACTGCGTTTTGGCTTCTGTGCCAAGAAAGGAACCCGCTAACACTGACAGCGATTACAGAGCTGATGTGGGACACATTCAGTGGGAACTAAACACAGGCACCCGTCTAGACAACAGTATTTTGGGATAGGGCGCTGAACAAAGAGCCCACAGGAGCAGAGTTCTCCACACCGCTCTAGACTAGATTCAACCCCATGATCTTTAAATTAAGGGTCCATATTCCGCCAGTGGCTATTTCTCACATTCCTGTAGTGCATTTCATGCTTCACTTCAGACTGGCTAAGCTTACGCTTTTATAAATCCCACCAGAAATAGCTAGACATGGTTCCGTAAACATATAATGAAATAAATTATGACACAAAGCTTAGTGTGACTTATTTAGCAACTCCAATCTAATTTTATACTTGATTAATACACACGCATGAAATTCAGATTAGTAAGCGAATCTGCCTTCTGGCTTCCTAGCCTAGGTTATCCAGAGAAACTTGGTTGTTTACGTGCTGCAATATTCTTCATTGGTTTTCTGCCCTACTAAAAGCAGTCAGGACCTAGAGGTGAGATTCGCTAATAAAACTTTGAAAAGAGGCAGGAACTTTGATTTTACCTGGTCACTTTTCCATGCCTTACTTGTAATCTTATTTACTAACACATATAATTTTACCCCCTACACAGCCACACCCAAACTGAAGACTTTTCATTTTCTAACATTTCAAAAAACCTAAAATTCTGCTTTAAATACAAGCATTATATCTCTATATGTTCTAGACAACTCAGTGCTAGCCATAACAGATTTCAACTGTACAAAAGCAGAATTCTTATGATTAGCAAACAATCAAGCTCCATTAAGAGTAGAACATACTTCTTCTCTACAGGTTATTTTTCACAGAGATACATGGACTGGTGAAGCGCTTCCTTGAAAACTCAGGGAAAATAAATATTCCGGGCACAAAACAGACCCGGTCCAACTATTGCGAGTGACCCATCTCCCATATGGAATTCAGGCTGGATCTGTAATATCTAACAGCATTCAGTCCTCCAGTTTTCTGCTGAAGCTGGCTTTGGAGGAGTCCACCCGAATTAACTGGTATCATTTACATTTCATGAGGCAAAAGCCTGCACGTAAGAACTGTGCGAAGAATATCAATTCACAGCATAAGGAAAAAAAATCCAACCCTCCACTGGGGGAAAGTAATGAGGGAATCCTGTTCCCACACTCAACTCCTATCACTCGGGTACGTGGACCTGCCCCCCCCCCCAAAAAAAAGGTAGTAAAAGTTGTCATTTACCTTTAATTTCCAACCACTGCTCATAATCTTCTTCCTCATCTTCATCTGGCGACTGAAACACACTGAGGCGGTTAACGACTGGGGTCTGTTTGGAATGGGAGTAGTTCTTCGCTTGGTGCAGCATGCTGCTCAGGACCTGACCGGGCCGCTTCCCAAACAGCATAGGTTTCTTCCCAACATTTGATGCAGAAGTGTTTGCCGAGTTATTAGTAGAACTTGGGGGAGGTTCTTAGAAAAGAATGAGGGGAAAATAATTCCTGTGCATCCTTACTGTTGTAATCTCAGAAGGTTACAAATAATAACTCAGGCTGTAATACAGCTGCAATAGGCTGTTACTTTCAGAGTAAGTTAAAGACATTGACTGGTAGAAGCTGCACCATCAAATGAAAGCTGTGATGATTTTTACAATGTGAGATTCAAGCTAGAAGAGAGATGCTTGTCTTTACCGTACCAATAGAGGGAAAGGGGGCAAACTTCCCTATCGCATCTCGAAGACTTTAATCCAAATTTAAAGGGGTCATCATTGCTTTAGAACTTACTCATACCGGTAACAGCTCATAGCAGGGTTTCTAAAGTGAACATACATGGCTGCAGCTCACACAAAGCTGGTATCACCAGGAGAAGGAAGGCCTCCTGTTGCTCAGAAGTCGACCTACCAGTACTTGACTTTTCCTTCTGCAGCTTGAGAAACTGCTGGAGGAAACTGCCATCATTAACAAACTTGTTGGAAACACAGGCTTCACTGTCAGTACCGTCATCTCTGAATAGAAAAAGAAAAGTAGGTGATGGTACTCATCATCCTCCCCAGCTCCCCTCAAACACATTTATTGTGAACAGAAAAACAAGGCAAATGCTAATGACTACTGTCTCATTGAATCTTGGCTTGATAACACACCTAGCCTTTGAAAAGCAGAACCACTCAGCTTGCTGCTTACAGCATTTACCCACGCTCTCCACCTGCCTCCTTTACTACTCCGTTAAAACAAGATTTCTACTTGCTCTGTTACGCTGCCCTGCTTCCAAGAACACCAGGCGAGCATTTAGCTGGAGAACCGTGTTAACTCTTCAGAGTCGCTATTATAAGAAAGGTAACAAATAGGAAGCAGAATAAAAGCGTAATAACACCCTGTTAAAAACACCATTGCCGTTAGCATATCTCTGTTCTCGCTAGTATCTGAAAAGTCTGGCTAGATCAATTTAAGTGCAAATATCCTATTCCAACCTTTACTCAATTATCAATTTCAACTTGCTCAGTATTTGCCTCCAAGTACAAGAGCTCTGTACTGCTCATCTCTTTGGTTCCATCGACAGACACGGCCGTTTTCTGTCAGCGGAGCTCCCATCCAAAAGCACTGTAATTCAGACATACTCTCCAATCAGCGGCAGCTGTTGTATGCTCAGGTAGTTCTGTTTCGCTTGCTGCTCCAACCTGGCCTCAATTTCTCTCTTTTTCTGCGCTATCAGCTCCTCTTGGTGAAGAATATTCACGTTCGTCTTGGCCGATTTAGACTGCGCGACCCCGAACCACCGGCTCGCTTTCCCT